CGGTGCGTGGGCGTTTTGCCGCCCCGCCACACAGCGCGGGGGCGCTTTTCCGCCCCTGACGCGTGGTCCGCGGACGCCAGAACAGATTAACGGTAATTACATTGAACCTTATGGGAAAATTTGCTTTGGGGTGCAACCAAATTCGGAGGGGGGAACGGATTAACTGTATTTCCATCGAACCTTATTGGGAAATTTACCTCGACTTGCGACCAACTCGACTTGCGATCAGAGTCACGGAACGGATTAAGTTCGTAAGTAGATTGTATACTGTATATTACAAAGTGCTGCAGAAGTGTGTTGAGTTATGCTAACAAGAAGGATGAAGGGTAAGAAAAATGGTCAGGTGAGCAGCCTCTGCTTTGGCCCAGGTGTCTGCTTCAGTCAACTTGGCAGGAAGTGAGCTGTTGGGACAGACTAAACCAGACAGGTTCTTCTGTCTCCCCAAGGTGGGAAAATGGAATTGTGTGTGAAGAGCGAGGCAGAGCTTTGAAAGAAGCACTTTCTGGGAGAGAAACTCTAGCAAGCCTGGCCCTTCTGGGAAGTCCTTGACTTGTCTCACTGACAGAGGATGGAAAAGGGGACAAAATACTCAGCTATCACTGACCTGATGCTAACCAATAACCCGTAGTGGGGAGGGAACACTCCAATGAGGAAGTGGCCGGGAATTTGGGGAAAGAGATCACGGCGTGCCGAAAATCTTGATATTAAGAAAACCTCCAGCCTTGCGCAGTGAAATATGTGTTTTAGTTAGATGTCAAGAAGCTGGTTTCTGAGAAGCAGGATTCTGTGTCAGAGGAAGCTCATGGAAAAGGAGCTTGAGGGGACACCCACACCATGGCTTTAATCCGTTCCAGTGCAGGCAGCAGATGAATGAAGTAACACCAGAGAAGGATGCAGTGAGGATGTGTTTAGAACCAGAAGGAAATTTATATTCTAATCAGCTGCACATTCTTCTCTTTATCAGTTAGGGAACAAGAGCCATGACAAAGAGTCTCCATTTTAAGAAAGTCTCCATTTTAGGAAACTGGGAGATAAATTGAATTCTAAAGAGGAACAACTTTGCTGAGTTGCTGAGATTTCTGTAACCTTTTTCAATTACATTTTGTAAAGAAACTCTGGAAGAATCTTTTTCTCTAAAGAGGTGGGAAAGCTGCAAACTTCACAGATCAACAAAAAGACATGTTCAAAATATACATATAGGTAGCCCTTTTGGTTCGAAGAAAATACGCTGTTGTGCAGTTCATCTGTGGGCACGGAGATGGCTCTGCAGTCCCAGTCTGGAAGTGCAGAGTCTAGCACAATGGGGGCACTGGAAGTTCATTGTTGTAATAACTGTGGGTGTTATTCTGTGACACCACTC